AGGTCTCCACATTCACAGCCAGTTTAAGATGTAGATCCACCTTCCTAATGCAGTGAATATGAGAGCATGCTGAACACTTCTATTGCTGTGAATATCTTTATGGTAAAAGAAATATGCATGTGTCCATGTACAGTGTAGATAGAATATAAAAATTATATCATTTAAAATCTGGTGTCAATGTTTTTGTAAACTTTATCAAAATTTGAGTCGATCTCAAAAGTACCTGGCAGCTGCTTGGTCGGGTTTGGCCCCCCTGGCTCTGATGGGCCCCTGTTGGGGTGTGGGGGGCCCTTGGATCCTGGGTCTCTGGGCTCAGAGGTCGGTCTGCTGTGGTGCAGTCGGCTGCTGGCTGAGTCTGTGAGCTCGTAACCGCAGACTCCTGGGGCTTCTGCTCTGTGCCTGCTGGGGTCTCCATCCAGCGCTCTCCTCTGCTCTCGTTTGAGTCGTGGCCACAAATGTGCGTGTGTTTGTCCTTCTGGGGGTCTCATGCTCTGGGGTGTTCTGGGGGTTCACCACTCCTGTGACATCTGGTTGTTTTGCCTCCTGCTGGAAATCCTGTTTTTTATCATTTTTCAACATCTTGTCAGCTTCCTGTTTTTTCTCCTGATCACAGACAGCAGAGACTGAAGTCAGAGGTAACTAGTCTGACCAAAACACTTTGTACAAAATCATCAAAGTATTTTTGTTTCCTTTCAGGAATTTGCACTTTGATTTAAAAATTCTTTTTTTTTTCTGTGTGAACTGTGAGACGAGAAATAAGAGTCCTGAAAGTCTCTGAAATGTTCAGGTTGTTTGGCTTTAACTTCTGTTCTGTGATTGCTGAATGATTTCAGAGGATTTTGCAGGAAACCTTGAATTTCTGTCTCCGCTGTCTCTTATTGTGTGGATGTGAGTCTTTGTCTGTGTTTGTAATAGAAATCTGTTTTTACACACTCAGTTTGGTCCTTGTTTCCTTTCCTGCCATTAAAAAGCCAATAGAATAAATAATAAATGTAAATGTGCTGCATGTTTGTTTGTTTGTGGTTGAGGACAGAGCGAGGTCCCAGTAAATGAATGTGTGTTTGTGCTGAAGTGTTCAAAACAACAGTCTGTGTGTGTTTACTTCTTTCTTCATGTTGCTGATCTCTGCATGTTTCTCCTCCAGGTGATGATGTTCCTCCTTCAGCTTCTCCTCAGCTGCATGTTGGTTTTTCTCCAACTAACAGACAAACAGATCGACACAAAGGTTCAGCCTGAACAAAACTATCTGGACTGTCAAACATAACAGTCTGAACACGTCTCCAAAACTGTTCACACAATTTCTGTTTGCTTTCAAATCTCTCTTCCTTAAAGAGCTCAAACAGGAAATCTGACCTCTGACTGACCCTGAACTCCAATAATGTCGCTGAATATGAGAGCAAGCTGAAGATTTGTGTTTCTATAAATATCTTTATGGTAAAAGAAACATGCATGTGTTCATGTACAGTTAATATAGAATATAAAAATCAAAATAATTGATAATCGGGTGTCTGTGTTTTTGTAACTTTTTCAAAGTTTCAGTCCAGTTTTCAGATTACAAATGCAAATGTTCCAAATATGAGAAATAAACTGCTAAATGGAGTTAAAATATTTTAAAATGGAAAAAAATGGTTAAAACACAAAAATGAACAAATTAAGTTATAGACATGACACAATGCTGAGACTCAATGTTATAATATGAATCATAGAAATAACTGAAGTTTCAAATTCCTTCTTAATGAAATCTTCATAATCTGCAGTTTTTAATTCTAGACCCATGAATGACTATAAGTCAGTGAAGTGTTGAAAACGTGTGTTTTTCTGTCTGTATTTACCTGTTTCCAAAATTCCTTAGTGGGTGTTTTTTTCTCCTCCTGCTGAAAATCCTGTTTTTCATCCTCCTTCAACTTTTTGTCAGCTTCATGTTTTTCCTCCTGATCACAGACAGTACAAACTGATGTCAGAGTAACTAGTCTGACCAAATCACTTTGTTCAATATCATCAAAGTATTTCTGTTACCTGTCATAACTTTGTGCTATGATAAAAATATACATTTATGATATCTTGTTCATTAAGAGTTAAATAGTTAAGATTAAAAAAATCAAACTTTATTTTTTACTCAATTTTTTGTTTTTTGCTTTGAACTGTAAGACGTGGAAATCAGAGTTCTAAAGGTTACTGGCATTTTCAGGTGTTTGGCTTTAACTTCTTTTTATTTTGAATCTTGTGATAAACCCTGTGACTCTGTTCCTGTGGAGGCCTCGTCTGCACTTTGTGAGAACTTTCTGAATGACTTTGTTGAAAAAGTCTCAGCTTTAAGGTCTCCACATTCACAGCCAGTTTAAGATGTAGATCCACCTTCCTAATGCAGTGAATATGAGAGCATGCTGAACACTTCTATTGCTGTGAATATCTTTATGGTAAAAGAAATATGCATGTGTCCATGTACAGTGTATATAGAATATAAAAATTATATCATTTAAAATCTGGTGTCAATGTTTTTGTAAACTTTATCAAAATTTGAGTCAATCTCTAAAAGTACCTGGCAGCTGCTTGGTCGGGTTTGGCCCCCCTGGCTCTGATGGGCCCCTGTTGGGGTGTGGAGGGCCCTTGGATCTTGGGTCTCTGGGCTCAGAGGTCGGTCTGCTGTGGTGCAGTCGGCTGCAGGCTGAACCTGTGAGCTCGTAACCGCAGACTCCTGGGGCTTCTGCTCTGTGCCTGCTGGGGGTCTCCTTCCAGCGCTCTCTTTTGCTCTTGTCTGATTCGTGGCCACAAATGTTTGTGTGTTTGTCCTTTTGGGGGTCTCATGCTCTGGGGTGTTCTGGGGCCTCTCCACTTCTGTGATATCTGGTTGTTTTGCCTCCTGCTGGAAATCCTGTTTTTTATCATCTTTCAACATCTTGTCAGCTTCCTGGTTTTCCTCCTGATCACAGACAGCAGAGACTGACGTCAGAGGAAACTAGTCTGACCAAAACAGTTTTTTAAAAATGATCGGACTTTGTTTCCTTTCAAAACTTTGTGCTTTAATACACATATATATTTCATGATGTTGTGTTTATTAAAAGGGGAGATTTACAAAGAATTAAAAACTTGTGTCTTCATATTTTTTCTGTGTGAACTGTGAGACGAGGAAATAAGAGTCCTGAAAGTCTCTGAAATGTTCGGGTTGTTTTGCTTTAACTTCTGTTCTGTGATTGCTGAATGATTTCAGAGGTTTTGCAGCAAACCTTGAATTTCCGTCTCCGCTGTCTCTTATTGTGTGGATGTGAGTCTGTGTGGATGTGAGTCAAAACAGTTTGTTCAAAATCATCAAAGTATTTCTGTTACCTGTCATAACTTTGTGCTATAATAAAAATATACATTTATGATATCTTGTTTATTAAGAGTTAAATAGTTAAGATTAAAAAAATCAAACTTTATTTTTTACTCCATTTTTTTTTTTTCAGGTTTTTGGCTTTAACTTCTTTTTATTTTGCATTCTGTGATGAACCCTGTGACTCTGTTCCTGTGGAGGCCTCGTCTGCACTTTGTGAGAACTTTTTGAATGACTTTGTTGAAAAAGTCTCTGCTTTAAGGTCTCCACATTCACAGCCAGTTTAAGATGTAGATCCACCTTCCTAATGCAGTGAATATGAGAGCATGCTGAACACTTCTATTTCTGTGAATATCTTTATGGTAAAAGAAATATGCATGTGTCCATGTACAGTGTATATAGAATATAAAAATTATATCATTTAAAATCTGGTGTCAATGTTTTTGTAAACTTTATCAAAATTTGAGTC